TAATATGGCCCAACCTAGCTTTCCAGCATTGCTTTCCAACACTCCCATTCTGGAAATTTCCACTCCAGCTGATTGGTTTACTTACTTACTCCTAAAAATGTCTCACATGGTCCTGCTCCCATTCTTTTGCTCCTGCTACAACCTGAGCTTTGATCACTCACATTCCTCTCCACTTAGGCAAGTTATAACCTCCTTTGGACTCCAAATCCTATCATACCTTTTCCTTAAATGTACCTCAGTGTACAGAGATCTCTCCTCAAATTTCCTAGCTCATACGGAGTTTCTAACCATTTGGAGTCTCAACAGAAAGAACATTATGATGCTTTGGTGTTTGTTCCATTATTGCCTGTAATGGTCAATTTTATGTGTCAACTTGATTAGACTAAGGGATACCCAGATAGCTGGTAAAACATTATTTCTAAGTGTTTCATGCATATGTCTTCAAGACAGATTGGCATTTGAATCCACAGACTGAGTAAAGATCACCTTCACCAATATGGTGAATTGCCAAAGGATAGATTAGAACAAAAAGGTGGAGGAAGGGTGAATTTATTCTCTCTGTTTGAGCTTAAACATCAACCTTCTGCCCTCGGACCTCAACACTCCCAGTTCTCAGGCCTTTGGACTTGGACTGAATTATACCACCAGCTTTCCTGGTTCTCCAGCTTGTAGATGGCAGATTCTGAGTCTTCTTTACCTCCGTAATCACATGAACCAATTCCTATAATCTCCTCTTACATTCATCTGGTCTCTCTCAGTGTAGATGATAGATAGATAGATAGGTAGATAATAGATAGATAATGGTGCAGCTATAAATATATTCTATTGGTTCTGTTTTTCTGAAGAAACCTAATACATTGCCTTAAACTAACTTTATCTCACTTCCTGGTATAGCCTGGAAGCTCCTTGGTGACATAGAATCCTTTCAATTCTATGAGCTCTCCCAGGGCTCCAAAATGTCCCCTTTTCTCATGAAATAACCAACATCGGTATCTGTTGTTTGCAACTAAAATAACCTCTAATTTGTTCTCCATGAACTAAGGATGGGAAGAATCGGTTGAATTAATTTCAATAAACACCACCAAGTGTTAAGATGTCTTAACACTCACATATGTAGCCAGGAGGTACGCTTACTTCTCAGGCAGGACCAATTCACTTATATTTTATAGTCATCTGTCCCAAGCTCAACTACCCAGTTTCAATGAAATTATAAAGGAGTAGTAGGAGAATGGTTATTGTAGGTCTTTGATGATAAAAAGAAAAGAGCTGATAGCCCAGCAAAATGAAGAGAGAAACACCATAAAAGACAGAGCCAAAACTTTCAGCACTCAAAATGATTTGTGTAGACGAAAAAGAAAAAAATTCACATGCTCTAAAGGATTAAATGACAGTACAGTATAAAAATCAACGTTCGTGATGATGCCCTGGGTCATTCAGAGTAGATTTAATTTTCTGGCGCCGTCTACCTGCAGAAGGCATGAAACCAAATAATCCATTTCAGTCATATTTCTAACCCAAATGTGTAAATTAAAAATAAAAAAGTATGAGATGCTATAGAAAGTTCACACCCAGTGCTTTCACACATTCATTCAAGAAGAGTTTATTGAGCACCTTCCACAGACCAGGCACTGTCCAGTAGGTGAGGACAGAGGGGTGAACATGATGATGAGATCCTTACTCCACTGAAATTTACATTTATGTGAGGAGGAGACCTTAAGGAAATATTTAAATGAACAAGATAATTTGGGATTATAATAAGTGCTAGGATATATGGAAATATATCAGAGTGATATATCAGAACAAGATAGTAGACAGTTCCTGGGGTGGAGGATAAATGATATTGGGCAGCCATGAATGGCCTCACTGCAGATGGGACATTTGAGGTCATTCTCATCCTCCTTCCCTGCATTTGCTTCCCACCCTGCTACCTCCCAGAGATGCCTCTTCCCAGCAGGAAGATTCCTTGCATCAGAGAACCACTAACCGGCTTTCCTGAGGAGGGGAGAAAAAGAACAAACAACCATATTCATTTGCCCAAGAAGCATTTCAGTTAACTCCAGTCCTGATTTCTAGAAGGACATTTTTGCCGTACCTGGATGAACACACACTGACAGATGTCAGTCTCAAGGCTGTCCTAGGAAGGCCCAGGAAATACATCAGCAATGGATCACTGACTCTCAGTGGACAAGGCAGATCTATTCCCCCTGGCTTAGCAACCAAGACTCTGCCCCAACACCTAGGAACCAATAGCCAAACAACAGTTGTCACTGATTTGGCAGAAAGTTTGAAACTGGTTTATCCCTGTGTGCTCTACACTCAAGTCATCCAGAAATTACCTAGGGACAAGGCTTTTCATGGCCTGGTATTTTGACACAAAGGCATGTGACAGGCAGACTCTTGGTGGTTCCTCCAGAGCCAGCAGCCCTCCCACTCTGGCTCCAAAGTACAATCTGTAACTCCATTCATGCCCTCTGACTGCCAACTTTCCCCAGGAAGTTTCCTTCTTTGTCCATCTGGACATCTGGCATCTCCCCCGAAAGGCTGGTTAAAAAAAATTCCACCTACTTCCAGCGAAAATGTAGGAGCAGATTCCAGTTCCACTTCACATGCCTCAGGAATGTGAGTAATCCCATTTAAGAAGATGCTTGATTAAGTTTTTAGAACCCAAATCAATTTGGTCATTCTTCAATGCCTAGAGCATGGCCATCATGAGATGGAAACATTCCTAATCAAATATTGTCCTAGAGAGAAGTCTGGTTTGGCCAGCTCAACTGCACAGAGATGGGTTCCTGTAAGAAATAATAGTAGCAATTCCCACACAGGAAGTCTTTCAGGCCAGCTCAGACCCTCTGGCAGAAGGTCTCTGAGAGAAGCCACCAGGTGCAAGGCAGAGAGAAGGGCAGAGCTGTATTGTCAGATCTTTGTATAATTCACCTTCCCTAGCTGCCAGCCTTGAGAGGGAAGGCACCTAAGGACCAAATCCACTCAGCAATTACTTCTATGAAAACTGTGTTATCACATCATTTAACAGTCAGTAGAAAAATCTCTCTCTTGCTCTCCCCCTCCAACTGCCACAGCAGCACCCTCCCACAGAAGCTATGAAAGGAAGCTGAAATGCAGGAGCACTGAGAAAGAGATGCTTCATTATTGTATCTCCCGTGTCTGTCCCCCTAAACCAGGCCAAGAAAAGCACACGAAAGAGGTGGCAACCCAAGATGGCGGAGTCCTTGCCACAACGTGGAAGGAAAGAAAAGGACTCCCTTCAAGACCAGCTCTGGGTAATTTGAAAACACACAAAAATTCACTTGCTAAGTTCTATCAAAGGACTATTTCCCCCTGAGAGTATGGGTGTGATTTGGCATATATAAATTCCCAAATAGTTTCCCTCCATCACTGCTGAGGTGGAACTAAGGGGTCTATAAAGTGTGAAATGAGAAGTGGACATGGTGTAGCTTAATGCTAGTTACCGCTTCAGGTGATGTGGCTGGGACTTCCCTATTTTTACAGCTCCCCAAATCAGAGTCTGATTAGCAACTATTTTAAGACTGCATTATAGAGTTGGCCTCAAATGCTTTCTAAATAAGGCAAATGTTATGGGCTTCCACCAATCTTTGCCTCCTGTTAATCATTTCAAGGATTTGTGTTGTACACACGGTAACTATTAAGCAATTAACTCCCAATAAAGCTTTTTTTTTTCTTTAATTTAAATATCTGGCTGAACTTGAGAAGGATCTTCCTTCTCCCTCCCCCAAACCCCACACCTTTTGAGTACCTGAGTTCATCTATTAGAATCTTAAAGGTATAAATAAATAAGTTACTAAAGACTCTGGTGATAAAAGCCAGGGAAATTATTTCTCTTTAAAAAAAATTTGTATTGGATGATTGCCTTTGATTACAGAACTGGAAACAATTAGAAACCTGACATTTCGTTTTCCCAGACTGTATTTTCATTGCTTCTGAGATGGAATAACCAATCTATTAACTTCATTCTACTTAATAGTTTTCCAATTCTCCATATTTCCAGTAAGGACTGGGGATTCTTTTGCGTTCTTCTGTGTGCTGTTTTTTGGTTTGTTTGTTTGTTTGTTTTTGTTTTTTTGTGGAGAAGCTCAGGGTGGGAAGGAAGGAGAGATGTGATGTGAAAGTCAGAAGAGCGTTTAAGGGATATGTAGCTCTCCCTGTATCTTACCTTCAATTTGCAGAATTACTGATAATCTGAACAATCTTATCCTCTAAACTGGCTTTCTTTCTGTGTTCATGTATCTGCTCCAAGTCAGAGGCCAAGAAGTCATTTTAAGATTTTCTTTTAACTTTAATACCCACCCACCTCCAGTCAATCACCAAACCCCGGGGCGTCCCTGTCTGAACTAACTGTTGAATCCCACCCCACCCCTGCTCCAGGAGGAGCGCCAGATACCACTGCTGTCATTCAGGACCCAGTTATGTCTCACCAGCGCAGTGAGCAATCCCACTGGGCTCCCTTGGACCAACCTGGCCTTCCCTAAATCCGGCTTCTACCCTGCGTCGGTGGTACTTTCTAAATACAATCAGAACCCCGGCTCTCCAGGTCCATGAAGAATTGCAAGAGCCCCTTGAGGACCCTTTGCTGGCTTCTAGACTGTGAGTGTCCTGAAGTTTGGGAATGAAGTCTTTCCCAGTCCCCCACATACAGGGACAATGCTCAGTGTTTGTAGGTAGAAGGAAGGGGAGAGGGGGCAATGGGAAGCTCTTCAGCTTCGTGTTGTGGGTGAAATCACTTGTCATCTTGCACAGCCAACTTCTTTGGGGAAAAAAGGGCACTTCAGTGGAGGGCCCATTGTCAAGCATCCAAACTATGCTCTCATCTGGAGAGAATCCTTAGTAGCTGGGTTAGCTTCATGTGCGCATGACCCAAGTAGTCTCAGAGGACCCTCACACTGAGAGGGTCCTCACACTTGGGTTAATGTCCTACTGGTCCTACTGTCACTTCTTTGAAGTTCTTTTTTTTTTTTTTTTTTTTTTCTCTAAGTGAGGACTTTAATGAACTGGAGAGTATCAGTGATATACATGAAAGCATGAGATACATGAAATTATCATTTCGGATCAACAGAAAATCTTTCATGTTGGCAACAGCACACACCTTGCTGACTTCAAGTGGCCAACATGTTACATCCAGCCCTGAGACGGGCCCCCTGGGACTTTGGTGACATGCTGATTTCTCAGTATAAGAGAAATTTCCCTGAGAAGATGCACAGGAGAGATTCAGTGAATCCAAAAGGAAGGGGGTGATGGCTGGGTACGTGGCGCCCCGGGCTCAGAACTTAAGCGGGATGACCGGCCAGTACTTGGGCTGCTTCCTGTCACAGTGCTTGTCGAAGCTCAGCTGCACGGCGGCCTCCATGGCCTGGATCTTCGCGGCGCTGTCCCCATACAAGCGCTTCATCTCGGCCTGGCGCCGCTCGCCGGGCCTCTCGGAGGGGGGTTGCACTGAGCGGTGGGTGCTGTAGTACAGGTCGTGGTCGGCGTTCACGTAGTCGTCCAGGCGCTGGGCGTCCAGCTGCTGCTGCCGCCGTCGCTCTTCCCGGTGCGCCTCGGTCTGGGCGAAGTACTGGCGCAGCTCCTCTGTGATCTCCATGTTGCTCAGGTCGCACTCCACACCCCCGTCTGACTCGGACTCCGCCGCCTCCTCCTCCTCCTCGGCAGGCCAAGCTTGGTGTTCTCTGGGGCGGGCTGCTGGATGCTGCCCGGACCTTCTTGCATAGACTGGATGAAAAGACCAAGGCTCAGCGGCTTTCCAGGACGCCACCTTTGCTGTCATCTCTGGTTGTGGAAGTCCAAGTGGGCGCTGAAACTCTTTGGGAGTGCCTCTTACTCCTGCGGTACACGTCTTCATGGACTGAACAGCAGCTTTCCTCCTAATGGGATGGTGGAACTCGTCGGCTCGTAGCTCGCGGATCTCGGGCGGTGGGCGAGCAGGGACCTACTTCCTGTAAGGAGACAGAAGGGGCCTTCTTTGAAGTTCTTAATAAATTTTAATTTTCTTTTTACACTGGGCCTTGCAAATTATGTAGCCAGTCCTGCCTGGTAAGTATGGAAGTCCTGGGGGCTGGGGTCTCAGATTCTCCTGCTTGCCAGGCCCAGGGGACAAAGACCAAGTCCCTGTCCCCTAATGCACATATTCACCAAGAATTCCTTATCTGAAGGCTGAGTACTTTTTGCACATCTATCATCTGCTATTTTTCAAAGCTATGTGGTCATTGATGAATTTAATAAAATACACATTTGTTTGAAAGAGCTCCTTAATTCACAGCAGCATGTCAACATTATAAATAGTTTGTACAAGAGGAAAAGTCTCAGTTGGATTCTGGCATGTCCTTAACACTTTCCTAGCACTGGTCACATTTCCTTTGTCAATGATAGAGAGGAAGCTGCAGGCACAGAACCTTCCCCACATATAAATATCTCTTTAAATTAAAAACCCTAGTACTTCCCACCCTCAGGAGCCAGGCTCCCAGGCACATCTAGTCCCGTCACTTGGATGCTCCCACCCAGGTGATGAAGTAGTTAATAATAAGAAGCTCTCATGGAACCTCCAAGGCAGTGAATTTCAGCAGGAGAAGAAAGGGACACTGGTCTTCCCTTGCAAATTTCCTCCGCTGCTCCTGCCCATGTTCCAGCCTGCTCGTTTGGACACCCACTAATTGCGAGAGCCCCTACAGACTCCAAGGTGATGACCACTATGGATTCAGCCTCACCAGGTACCCAGTCTGTCCTGAGCCCTTCATGTTTTCCTGAGAGGAGCAGCAGGGAGAGATCAGGAGCACAAAGACTGATGCCAGGCCATTGGGTTCGAACCTCAGTTTCCATACCTGGAAGATGCCTATATGGAAAGTAGCCATCTCCAGCACTGCCGTGAAGTCAAATGAATTAAAGTACATGCTGTGCTCAGCCCCAGGCCTGGTGAGAACTGCTTGTGTTTGCTAGTTATCGTTATTCCTATATCATTTAACCTTTACAACAGTTGGTGAGGGAGGTTTTATTACCATTGGCATCATCGCCATCATCATCCTCATTTTGCAGACCATGGAAAGGCAGAGAGACGTTAAGGGGCTTGCCCAAGGTCACCCTTGAGCAAAGGGTGAAGCCATCAAAAATGGCCTGAGGTGGTCTGAGTTCAAAGCTGGGCTTTTTCACCACTAAGCACTACACCTTCCCCTTGGGACCACCTAGCTGACTGTAGTCCTCTGTGATCCCAGATATTTTTCTAGGTCAAATGCTTCTTTTCAATCCTGTGCCTGGTCCCAGACACATAAGCCTGCCATCTTGCAATGGTGCTTACTGAATTGTATCTTGTTCTTCACGGAGTCCTGATTGTCAGTCCCCAGTCGACTATGGAGGCTGGGGGTGGAAGTTCAGCATGGGGGTGAAGGTAGGAGCTGGAGGCTGGGACAAGGTGGTATAGGGGCAGAAGGGAATTATGTGATGGAACAATACAGCTCCTGTAAGAAATGTGGGAGATTGACATTTCCTACCTTCTACTCATGTGTCTTCTCCCACTTCAGGGGCTGGACAGTTCAGAATTACACTTCCCAGATGCCCATGAGTTTCTACCACTGGAAAGGAGGAGTGAGGGGGCAGCCACACTTCTGCTCCCACTGTTCCTCCTCGCAAGTGTCCCTGATGAAAGTCTGGTCTTTTTATGATCTTAAAAGGCAGTGGTGCTCTTGGTGGCCCCTCGTTTTGTAGCATGATTCTCAAAGCTATTCCTGAAAACTCATCCTCGTGCCTTCATCCTCTTGAATAATTCTGTAAACACTAGTAGGTCTTCTTCAGCTTAAACTGGCTGGGACCCCAAGTAGATTATGTCTGCTACGAAATCCTGACCTATACAGCATCCAACAGGTGGAAACTTAACTATGACTCAGGCGGAACACATCCCATTATCAAACATTTCAAATATTTTATTATTTTTAAAAAGTACAGAGAATAAGTTGACAAACATCCCTATATCCACCACTCAGTTTGAGAAAAAAAAAACATTACAAATAAAATTGATGATGTGCCATTTCCCTTTTACCATGTGAAGCCCCTTCCTCTTGCCCCAAGGGCCTGCCATCTTGAAATGGCTATGTATGTGTTTACATTTTTTACTTTGCATGCAGACCTACACCACAGACAGTGTGATTTGGCATGTAACCTTCTGTACTTTTGCTGTTGTTGTTACTCAACATTATATTTTTGAGATTTGCCTATACTGATATTTAGTCACCTCGTTTTATTCTTTTTAATGGCTGGCTGGTATCCCATGTATGAATATATTTCATGCACAATTCCATGACAGTCTATTCTGTTCTTGATAAGGGATGCAGTTTAACTTTCTAGTGTCTTTTGGGGTGTAATAGTTCAAATATCTTCAGGACAGACAGATTCCTGTAAAATACTCTACTGATAATGGGGACTAGTGCCCCTGGTGACCAATGCATTCATATTTATGTCTTAAAACAGTGCACTGGCAAAACAGATCTTATCCTTGGAGCAGGATCACCCCAGGGCTCCCCTCTGCTATCTCCAGACACACCCCTGAGACTGTGCATGAACAGACAAGACCCCAGGACAGACAGTAGTGGACTTGCTACCAGGAAATGAAAATTGAGATGAAGTGGGTGACTAACCTCTGAAGTCCTAGCAGCCATGGCCCCCAGGTTCTGGGAAAATGCTGATGAGCTCACTGACTAATCATGGAGAAATTCTAACACCTTTGCCAGGAATTCTGGATAAAATGTGTAGCTTGGCATGAATGATTCAGGAGAGTTTATCAACCAGGCCTTAAAATGAGTTACTTTGTCACCTAAAGTTACTGAATCATAAAAAGTGGAGATACATTTCCTATGGTTCAGTTCAGGTCAGCAAAACTACCCTTGTGGCAGAGGGAAAAGGAACAGCTTTGCAGCCAAGCACACATAATTCTCATTTTGCACTTGTTCCATACGTGACCTTGGACCAAAAACTTCCTGTCTCAGAGCTTTGGTTCCTTTGTTTCTAAATGGAAGGTTAAAATAATAATAATTAGACATGGCTGACCTGGTGCTCCATTCCCACTCCTTTGAGTAACAGCAGCCAGACTTCCTTCTGGAGAACCACCTCTCCCCCATTCATAGTCTACACATTTTGGGTGAAGCCTCCTCTCAAATTCAGAAGTGGACATGGGTCTCAGGCCTGGGTAATAAGATCACCCATGTCCCCTGCCCAACCATTGGTTCTGAGACAGGCATATGATGCAGTCAAAGCCAACGAGATGCAATGAGACTTTTATGGGAACTACAAGGGGCTCTTTCCTGCTGAACTTGAATTTAGGAGGATGTGAACCTGGAGTTGCAAGGAGCCACCAAATTTTGGCCAAGAATGAAGGCCATTCACCAGACTACATTGTTAAGAAGTAAAAAGAGGCATTATTTGAGTCCCTGGATCATAAGCTGATGATCTTGCTGCAAGTTCCTGGATCATAAGTTGATCCAGGAACTCAGTGAATTTAATGAAGGCCAAGATCAAGTTTTGAGATTTTCAGTGTTCTTTATTATAATCTGTTTAGGTCTTTTGCTTAAGCCAGCTTGAGTTGGTTTTCTGTCACAGGATCGTATGTCTTGACCAACACTGTTTCTTTGGGAACTGTGAGGAGTTATTGAGATGACATGGGAGATAACTACCATGGTCCAGATTCCCTCCCCCTGCCTGTTCTTGCTCTGATCCAAAGATATCTTCACTTGACTCCTTTTTACTTTTATGCAATCCTGAAATCATTCTGAGCTTCTAGAAACATCTAGAAACTATGATATAGTAGAAACTCGAACAAATTAAAGACACCTCACTTAGAAAAGACTGCTTGGCAAAATAATAGCTTTCTTGAAATACTTAAAAGGCTGCCATATGGAAAAGAACTGGATTTCAACTTGAAGAGCAAAATCGGGTGATTGGGTGGGAGTTGGCAGAAGACAGTCAGCTTCAGTGAAGAAGGAGGGTTTAGCAACAAGCTCTGGATCACACCTCTGAGGTACTTGGTTTCCATTGCAGGAGACCTTCATGCCAAGAATGGACACTCACTGGTTGTGATTTGTGGAAGGGACTCGTACTTCAAGGAGACGGTTACCTGGAATGACCACCAAAGCCTTCTCACTTTATAGGATGCTGGGGGTCTAAATAAAGTGCCAAATGATGACTATTTATGCCCCTAATCTAAGACCATCCCTAATTTTTCCAGTGTAAGAGGGTTTTGAGCCATTTGAAGAGATAAACTTTTAGGAAGGTAGATGAAATAGTCAAATGTCTATTTACACTTTTATTATACTTGACACATAAGTCATCACACTTATATATATTGTAAAATTATCATATGTAAACTTAGAAAAGTTACATTTTCCATTCTCACATTTAATGAACTCATATTCAGTCTTTCACATGCACTTTGACATTTTTTTATTACAATCCTTTTTGAACCATATAATGTTGGATTTGTTCGAGTGTTTAACTTTTAGAGCTGTGCACTTATGACTATGAAAAGCAACTCGAAGAAAGAACTTCAGGCAGAAAAATATCTTTTTTATTGTGAGTCTAAAACTTTCTAGCCCCTAACCTCTCTGGTTTCATTATAAGTGATTTTTAAGAAAATGAGTTTTCTTAGAAACTCAGCTATTACCATAGAGCAGAATAAACCATCCTTAGGAACTAACAGAATGTCCTCTGAATAAGGGGAGATATAAAACTTCATATACGGTGTGATCCAAAATATGACAACAATTTAGATATGAAGTGCAAAGAAAAATATGAGATGGAATATACCGGAAGATTAATAGTTTAGGTTGTTATCTGGGCTTTGGTTATTATGCATGCTGTAGTTTTATTTTTCATTTTTTCTCTATCTCTAAGTTTTCTGCAATCAGCATGAGTAACTTCTACAATGAGGAAAAAAAAGAACTCGTGCTAAAAATAAATACCTGAGTGGCAGTTATAGAGTATAAATCCTTGTTCCAGATTCCATGAGGCTTATAAATGTAGCTGGATCAGAGGTCACAAACTCAAACACTTCCATGTAGCATAAATGACATAAGTGGGCTAACTATAATAAAACAGGGGGTGGGGAGGGCTGTGGCAAATAGGACAGCTTGCCTGAGACAGGATAGCCAGTAATTGTCATGTAAAAATATAAGCCCAGTAATATCAAATGCTCTGATACTAGATATTTATGTAAAAATGCCACCCCATGCCAAAATTCATGTTCAGTTTGCCCTTGTCACTGACCTCTAAGTTAGACAGGGTTTCCTTTTTGTCTGATTTCAAGATATTCAAACTTCTGGCTTTTCCTGCCAAACTACAGATTTTATAGTGTTTTTTTTCTTTAAAGATGTATTTATTTGTGAATGAGAGAGAGAGCATGAGTGGGAGCGGCAGAAGGAGAGGGAGAGAGAATCCCAAGCAGACTCCACACGGAGTGGGGAGCCCACTGTGGGGCTCCATCCCACAACCCTGAAATCAGGACCTGAGCTGAAATCAAGAGTCAGATGCTCAAACAACAGTGCCACGCAGGCGCTCCCAAACTACAGATTTTAATTGCCCTGTTCCTCTTCAGTCTTCCTGGCTTTCTAGTAACCTATTTCACCATTAGCAATAGTTCCCAAAGTGTGTTCCACGGAACATGAGTCCTATGAGATGTTTTGTGAAAAGAAAAGGAAGGATTCCATGGTGAAATATGTCTGAGAAACACTGCTCTTACATTTCCCACCCAGAGATTCACAGTGGACATCATTTTAAAGCCCCGGAGCTGTCCTGCAGCTTACTAAGCAAGCGGACTTCACTTAGTCTAGCGTTTTCCAGACTCGCTTGGCCATGGACTCTTTTGAGGGCATAACTCCTATTAACATGTTACTGCTACAGATGTAGTGGACCA